CACCAGCTGTGCACGTGGGTGGTACTTGCAGTGCGTGGCTGGCAGATGTTGCGGAGGCGCTTGTCATGAAGATGACAGGAGTGATGGTGTGGAGGTGCTGCGTTCAAAGTAGGTTGTGGTGGCGGTGATGTGATTCATGTGGACGGAGACAGTTGCCATGACATAGGGAGGGGGAGCACCAACCACACCGGCAGTACCTCAAACAAGAACATGTATTCGCGACAATTATCGTGCGCGGTCGTTTAATGGCGGGAAGCACACTTGCGTGAAGTGTGATTGATGAGCAATTTGTAGTAGCCCATTAAACAAAAGGCATCAACAAACATGAAGGAAAACAAAAGCATGCCGAAGAACCAAGCACTTTACTTCTTCCGCACATAGAAAAGAATGTACGCTTTGTCGGAGCAAATACAGCGCTGAGCAGGATCGTCGGCGCTGCTCGCGTCATTTATCTCTGAGCAGGCCTCGACTTTTTCATCATCACACAACATCCACCTGCAAGACAACATTTTCACGTTGAGGAGGTGAGTAGGTGAGTTCTTCAAAGAGATGCTTGAATCAGAGCATGTATACGAGACAGCCACATCACCCAAATCACAACTACAACAGTGCACCTGCCGACATACCCCTTGTGCGTTAGGACAGTAGCCGTGTAGTGCCCCTGTGTCGGACTGTCTCCATGGTGATTGACGACGCCACACAGGGAGAAAGTGGCAACCTGACCGTGTGACAGTCCCTGTGACATCAAGCCGACAGGAGGAGCATGACACAGCCATACATTCCTTGCGTCAAGAAAACAATGTTGATTGCAAAGCGCGCTTCATGATTAGACTGTCACGTAAAAACAGACAAGTCACAATCAATATGAACCTTTATGTGTTCCTGCGTGAGCTCCAGGGTCAATGGAATTTCCACCTGTCAAATGTTGCGGTGAGCTATCCGCTACGATCATCCACGACCCAAACCCAAGAACACATGCACCGGATGACGAAAGGCAGTGGCAATAGATGTGAGGGCACGACAGCCACACCAAACACTACCTGATTGTGGATTCTGTGACAACGTCTATCCTTGTAATGAAACCGGTTGAGATGAAACAGGAGCCACGTTGTTGTCGATTGCATCTGTGGCTTTCTTGTGGTCGCAACCTTAGCCGCACACTTTGAGCAGTCGCTGTAACGAGTTCACTTACCGTGAATTGGTTGAAGACAATCAGATTGCACAGGAACCAGTTGTGGACGACTTAGGTTCGACAAGCATTGTGCGCTGACCTTGTAACTGTGTCAGCTGGCAGCATCTGCATTTGTAATGCCTGAAAAAGGGAAAGTTGTTGCTTCGGATGTTGTGGATCATTCGCCGAGAGTTTAACAGTATGGGACCTTGATACCGACAAGGTGTGTCCACATTTGGAACAAAGCTCCGCGTCGGCGACCTACAACCACACCAAGTTCATGAGATGCATGAGCAGAATACAAAGATGAGGTTGCACACATACAATTTAGGGAAGACAAACTCAACTGGCTTCACGTGTTTCAGTGGACGTGATACCTGTGGTGCGATGCAAAGTGCCCCCAAAAGATCCCCAAGGAACTCCTAAAATAGCAACGACTGTGAGTGGTCGTTATGAGACTGCCAGGAAGGAACATGTCATGCAAACTCCATGTCTGTGTATGGACGGAACAACTAACTGCCGCATCTTGTTGTTTGTCCTCGGTGTAGTCGCCCTGTCGTGATATATGAGCAAACAGGATGTCAGCATACGTCTGATACAAGCACAACACGGCAAACTTTGGCAGCGCCAGGCAACAGCAAACATACCACACGAAATGACAGTTTCTCTTTGACGTTAATTGCATCTTTGCTTGAGTATGCTGTAAGGTCCCCCATCAAGTTTGAAACTTGGTGTGCCAGTGCGCCCTGATTTGTGTTGGCGTCCTGTGAGTCCTGTAGAAACGGCATGTTTCGACATAAGTCGTGATGAGAAACGCATATCAGCACTCGCTTAACGTCTTGACTGACGCTCTTTGTTCGTTGTCGTGCAATCTCACTTACGATTCACAGCTCACCTTCAGCGCCTGTGCAAGAGGGGTCGTGCGTACAAGGCATTGGAATACAGCATTCATGTAACAACGGCTACGCGAGGGGTTGCTCATGGGAATGCAAGCAACATCGTCGTCGTCGTCGTCGTCATCGTGGTGTTCATCGTGGTGCTCATCGTCGTCGTCGTCGTGGTGTTCGCCACCCCCCGTATCATGTTCACCATCCGCACCGGCGCTACCTTCGTCAGTGCTCATTACGGTTTTCATGAAGTCTGCCAGCAGTTTCGTTTCCTTCTTGGCAGATTCGCACTGGCCTTTCACAACATCAATGCTGAGATGGGATATTTTGGCTTTCATCCTGTTCAGAATAATAGCCTGGGCCCTTGGGAGTTCGTTTTCTCCAAGTTTTCGCAAAATCTCACGCTCATCTCCATGTAAACAATCCGGCGACCTCAAGCATTCTGGGTGCGGAGCAGGAGCTTTCCCGTCATCATTCGTGGATTTATTGATGAAAATGCCTTCAATGTCAGCAGTGTCTGGAGGGAAGACGAAATGGCCATGTTCCCAACCGGCTTTGCATAACCGAGACAAAGACGGTTTGAGTTTGCCCAAGTGTGACGGTTGCAGAGGCGTCGTGCTCTTTCGCAGCGCATCTAATTGCTCGCGCGGCAGAGTGTCCTTGGCGGCATTTAACGTCAAACAAGTGTCTTGAGCCAATTTGCCATGTGCTTGCTGTAGTCGTTCCAGTTCCCGCCGTAGTAGATGCTGTAGCGTTTTCCGCTTTTGCGTCGAGTAGGTCTTCCAGATCATGACAAGAAGCATCTCAGAAAGTTCGTCCGTTGATGGAGGCGGGTCAGTTAGGGGAAGTTGTGTGCTCTGTTGCACAAGTTCTGTGAGCTTTACTTGAATTTCGTCGACTGAGACTGTGTTGAGAGCGTTCGTAAAGTTTTTCACGAGATATGTTTTCACTTCGTTTACACCATCCTTGCGACGACTCAACTCGCGAAGCTTGTCTTTCCTCTCTTGAGTTTTTGAGAATTCAAATTGTAATGTAAGGAGTTCTTCAACAGCCTGTTGAAGGTGCTGGCCAAGCTTGTCATAAGTTTGATGACGAAGCGTGATGTCTGCGCCAACGTGAGGCATCAATTCTTTGAATCGCTTGTCAATGTGAGCTTGAACTTCGTCAGTCTTGAAGTATTGCACAACGCCCAAACCTTTGAACTTCTTCCACTCGCTGTTGGAATGTACCATTGCCTTAAACAACACAGCAAACTGAATGAGAATAAACTGAGGCGTGTGCTTCTTTCCCAATTTGTGATCGGCGATGACTTTGGCGAGGGTTTTCACTTGCTTCAAGTCTTCGACACTCGGGCAATTGTGAATGGCTCGTTTGTTCTCAGGAGGTTGGATGCCAAACTCCAGCGCGCGAAAAAAATGTTCCAGCCTCTTGGACTCAAGGTCTTTGATGAGCCTCGAACAATCAAGCACCATCAAATAGACGGCGTGCAATGAGAGATAAGTGCCATTGAGCGAGAAGAACGAATGTCCACTCAATCGTTGGTAGCGGTTCCGACTGCAAAACAAAGAATCAAAGTCACGAAACGAACAGCAGCGAATATGCAGCCACGAGAGAACGAAGCGCATGTGGGAGATTCCGTACCAGCCTTGCATCGATACAATCTTGAAATGAGCAACTTCAGCCAAATGCTTGCTTTTTGCTTGGCAACGCTCGTTGTCAGCGACTTGTTGCAACAAACAGCGAACTGGAATTTCGCCGTTTTGCCCTCCAACAAAACGACTGTTCGAGAAAAGTACATGTCGAGGCACGCAGGGTCTCGAAGCTTGGTCATGATTTTGGGTCCAAGCATTTCGGTTATTGGCCGAGGCAATGTTGATATGTGTGTGGCGGGCGTAGGTTGGCGGCGATGTAGAGCCGAACCATGCCGCACTTGAAGACAGTCGATTGGGACTGTGTTTGAGTTCAGCAGTTCGACGTGGTGCGTTGCAATGATGAGCTGTTGTTGCTGTTCTCCCTTCTTGTTGCGAGTGCGCCTGCGAAGACAATCCGCAAGCTTGCCTCGAAAGAATGCTCCAACATTTTGGCCTGGTTCATCTAACAATAGGACTTGTGGCGGGGGTTGTCTTGTGTTGTCGCTGGTGAACACCCCACACGATGCCAGTAACACCACACCTGCGTCTCTATGACCACCAGACATACGCTGAAACTCAAATGAGCTTTCGCTTGGTTTTTGTTTGAGCAGCACTGCCTCGCTTTTCTTTGCTTCAGACCCTATGTTCTGTTCAGCTAGCTGACACACCTCCTCCCATGACTTTCTGAAGTCTTCGTTACCTTTCAAGCGAAACAGGGTGCCGTTTTGCAGTTTTAGCAACTCGGCCCAGCCGACCCGAATGCGTTCTCCGTGGAGAACAACGAACCCTCTGTCTTTCAAAATACGTTCTTCTTGCAGGCACCGGTTCTTTTCTTCCGCGGAGAGTGTTTCTGTTGGTTGCATGCAAATTGTGCTCAAACCAAGGTCTTGTGGCACATATCGGACGTTCTCTTTGATCCACGTCCGAAGGGACTCAGACACATCACATTTGCATGCCTGCTTTGACGGATTTTTGCTCCATTCCTGTAAGATTTTTCTCGCAGTCGTGCTCATCTCTTCTGCCTTGACCGTAGGCGCTTCGCCTCTGGGTGGGAGACGTATGGTCACCACAATAGCATTACTCGAAGGTTTCTTACCTTTGATGTGTTTTGATGCATCTGACTGTGGGCACAGCACAAGTATGATGTAGCCATAGCTGTTGTTGCGTGTGGCCAACAGGCGTTCTGTCTCGTCCACACACAATTCAGGATTGAGAATAGCCTCCAGAGCCAGCACGACGCCCCGAAGTATGGCGGTCTTACCACTTCCTGACGGACCAATCAGGTACGTCTCTGTGCCCGAAAACATAACAGTTGTATTTCCTCTTTGTGAGCTTGCCTCCTGGTGTGGCTCGGCTTTGTGGTGCTTCCCCCCGAAAGATAACACATTTTGAAACCCAGCACCAATGATGCAGCACACTTTCGGCATCGACGTCGGCGCTGTCTTGCTGCTGAAGGTGTTCGTGCTTTGTTTCATCGTAATGGGTTCGGCCTTCAAAGTGAACAAGCAGGAAAAGGGAAAAATGATCTTTCTCGAAAGCCGCGTCAGCTTGGTTCTGGGATCTTGTGATTTGCTAAAAAATAAACACAAACACTGATAGGCCGCGGTTTCTTTCTTCGGGAACTTTCCTAGTCGGAGCAATAGCAAGTGCTGGACATGCATCTGCCAC